TTTTGTTCATGGAGACTGGCGGGTCTCTCGCTGTTTTTCGCTTTCTCGCTCCATAGCCCATAGCTTGGGGGTTTGGAGGCAAAAGCTCAAAAGTCAACGGCCCCAGAAAGATAAGACGGATGTGTGTGTTCAAACCCCGCTCATTATTTTATAACTTACCGAAACCTCATTGGAGGTAGCTTGAGAGTTTATTTTTCCACATGGGAAGAGTTCGTCTTCCTAGACAAACACTTCTCTGCAGAAGTGCGATCAGTTTCTCATCCACACTTGAATCTATCAGAGTGCCAATGAGTAAAATTGCCCCTGTTTCACTCTCGCATATCACCTCGTTGAGAAGTTCCAATTTTCTTTTCAACCACCTTTTTTTGAAGTGGCCGGGATGGACACTATTTAGTGCGATTGGCACGTATCAGTCTGATTGGTGCCATATAATGATTTTACGACCTATTCCTTTGATAAAGAAGGAGAGAGACTTCCTCTTGTGTCCTCGAACAAGGATAGCGACCTCCAAAAGTTTGAGTCGCGGAGCGGATTGAGTTTAAGTTGGGAGCTAAGATGCTTGCTATTGTCCTTAACTATGACAATATGCTCGCATATGCCCAACAAAGAAACTTATACAGCCCCGTATAATAACGTGCAAACTTTTTCATGCCATCCAACATAAGAGGGCTTTAAAACATGGCATGGCTAAAATCTCAGGATAATATTTATTGCTGCCATGGGCCCAGTTTCAATTTTCATTTCTTTTCAGAAGCCCACTCTCATTTACACGGCCAACTCATTGCAAAATGGCCCCTGACGCTGGCACTCGTGGGGTGATTGAAACCCTCCCCGGATCCTTACCCATGTCTGTTGTGCCGGATGATGTGAACCCTGAGCTCGTCGCGGTTTCGTGCATCTCATGTCTGCATTCGCTCACCGATGCTGACTTCATACGTGATGCGCTGTGGAAGGACCTATACGCTCTAACAGGACTTCCAAGAACATTTTCGACCGCGAAAGCAATAGAAACAGCTTGGAACGACGTTTTCAGCACCCATAAACCTTTTGACTTCACGTTCACTCCAGGGACAGCGGAGGTTGTGCGGAAAACTCCCAAATTATCCTGGGTGGAAGGTAGATTTACGTTCCGCACAAAAAGTTGCCCAGCGTCTTTCTGTTCCGGAATGGTCTCGCTCGTACCCGATGGAGGAAACACATGGAAAATATGGATATTGAGGACCATTCTCGAGCGGCTTGAAGGGCATCCTGATGTCGATGTACCAAATCCACAGACACCGATCATCAACTGGGAAGCCAACGAGTTTGACTGTCTGGTTGTGGGTGCTGGCCAGTGTGGATTATCCACTGCGGGACGGTTGCAGTCATTGGGGGTTAACTACCTTCTGATTGATAAGAACGATAACATCGGGGATAACTGGCTTTTGAGATACGACTCAATGAAGTTACACACTGTCAGAGCGTATGGTAAGCAATAAGGCTTCAACACAATGCAAAGAGTGACAGTTATCTTACGATATTGTAGCGCACCTCCCATTTGAGCGGACGTTTTCTGGCGACTCCTATCCAGAGCTCCTGTCCAAGTACGATCTTGCCAAGTGCTATAAAGGTATGGGCCGACAAGCTCGGCATTGTGAGTCCAAGGGTGGG